TCTGTCCACAAGTCACTCAAAGCATCATGGGATGCAGGAATAAGGTGGATTGATATGATATGTTATCTATACAAATTAACTTGGTGTCACTGGAAAACCCCTGGTGTATATCGCCAGTACACAACACTGAAAAAAAGGAGTGCCTTTACATTAACAGCATAATTAGTCCTGTTTAATTGGATTTAGTGCCATGCAGGGTGTGTATCATTGTACAGAAATCACACTGATACATATTGATATTGTAATATATATTGTCTACCATGAAAATATTTTCAAGTATTATGATACTGTATTTTTGTTTACATTTACAGCATTTAGCAGATGCTCTTATCCAGAGCGACTTACAATTTGATCATTTTTACACAGGTAGGCGAAGGTAGTGTTAGGAGTCTTGCCCAAGGACTCTTATTGGTGTAGTGTAGGGTGCTTACCCAGGCGGGGATTGAACCCCAGTCCACAGCATAGAAGGCAGAGGTGTTACCCACTACACTACACCATCCACATGCTATAGTGCTCACTTTTAATTATACTTCCAATTTTCAAAAATGTCTGAATAATTCACTCCTTGAGATGTAAACAGAGTCATTCAGAGTGGTTTGATGTTAAATTCTTCATTGTGGAGCAGCGGTCACCAAACCTCCTTCTGGAAATCTACCTTCCTGCAAAGTGTAGTCCAAACTACAATCTGCCACATCTGCTTCAGTTAATTATCATCTCCAGAAGACCCTGATTGGCTGGATCAGATAAATTAGCATCTGGAAAGGAGGAAGGCAGCATTTTAGATGCAGGCTGAAACTAAACTCTGCTGGAAGGTAGATCTCCAGGAGAAGGGTTGGTGACCACTGTTGTAGAGAAACGTTCAGACTCAGATTTCTTTACAGTGGTGGGGATATGAACCAGGAGGCACAATGTCTACAACACAAATACAGCACTTTTATTTACTATCCAAAACCTCCAGTGAACCTACACATATCTAACTATTTCAAGCAATATATCGTCCACCGATATATCATACATCCATAACTGTAACCTGTACGTATTAGCTAACTTGAAATTTGAAGGTTTCTAGGGAGGGAGCTTTCAGAAGCATTAAACTCTTCAAACACCAGATTCTTATTACCACCATTGTAAATGATTCTGACTCAGCAAGTTTCTCTTCAACAGTGCATTTCACACCAAACCTCACTGAATGACTGTTTCCGTCTCAACCTTTTGTTTATGTAGAATTTGTGAAAAATCTGTGGATTTTAAACTTTAAACTGTTTTCCGTCACTACGGCAAGTTATTGGTTGCAATTACTGTCCAGAATTTTAATATTGCATATTTATCGGCAAACAATCCATCACCCACTGATATACTGAACACTTTTAGCTGTAACCTGTTCATGTTAGCTAAGAATATTTTCTCTGAGTGGACAACAAAGTACTTTAATAAGTCATTTTGGATCAGAGTGTCTGCTGTAAATGGAAATGTCTGCCTAACAAAGTGGACGCACATTATTTAAAAAAAGCACTGAGTCATCACAATGGACAGGAAAAGGGAGGCAAAGGAGAGGTTGGTTTGGCAGTTAAACGAGTGGATTCTACAGCTCCCAAATATGGTAATATTTAAGAGATTTCAGGATATGTCTCTATTAATCTATTAAATGCTTCGCCTGTGCTGAAACATCAATGGATTTGTCTGCATTCATTCTAGTGTTTCACTAGTTTCCCATGGATCCCAGTGCTTTTGGAGTGCAGTCTGAATTTCAGACATTTTCATTTTCATGCTGAAGTCTGAAAACAGAGAGCTGATGTGCAGTGAGATGAATGACGTATCTGATATTTTAAAAGACATAAAAGTTCTTATCAGTATTCTTACCCATCACTGTTGTCCATGATGTACAGAATAACATAGTGTTTACGTTGCACTGATGCACCTTGAAGGGGAAAAGCAGAAAGAAAAACAAATTTATTGTGTCAGTAACGCATTTCCTTTCTCTGACATTAACTAAACTCAACATTTCTGTATAATTAAATGGTTGAGCTGTAAACAGTCATTCAGAGTGGTTTGGTGTGAAATGGTCCGTTCTAGAGAAACTTACACAGTGGTGGTGATAGGAACCAGATGTCTGAAGAGTTTAATGCCTCTAAAAGCTCCCTCGCAAAAAGTTCTTACATTAAGTGGTTACTAATACGCTGCTTGATGCCCGAGATATTGCCTTGAGAAGGTTTTTTGTCTTTTTTTAACCCATTAATGGCAGTGAGACACATGTAGGGTGTGGTGAGGCAAAATAGCCCCCAAAAGAATGTTTTTTGTCCCCAAATCTACCATTATTTGACCATTATCAACATAAGAGCTCACTGGTGGTGTTGGATAGTAAATAAAATGACTGTATTTGTGCTGTAGATATCATGAGGCCTGGTTCCTATCACCACCACTGTAAAAAAAAATCAGCATGTCAGCAAGTTTCTCTACAATTTTTTAATTAACTATTTAATGTCAAATTCCTCGAAATGACTTGATTTACATCTCAATGACTGTATCATACAAAAATACAGAGGAATTCCCCTTTAACTGGCTGTTTTTAATAAGAGGTGAAACCAGAAACTGCTGCCTAAAGCACCACACATTTCATCAACAGCGTCTGACTTTTGCGTTGATATAAATGTCTGAGGTGACTTAAATATAAAACATGCTCAGTAAAACAGCTTTTAAAGCGGGATTACTTCTAAATTTCTTCATAACGACGCAGACAAAGTCATTCAGGGCGCTTTCATCACGAGTTTAATGTCTGTAAAACCGACCTCCTCCACTCCTCATGGCGGAGAGACACGTGCCCGGCTTTGAAAGGCAAAACAGCACCCAAAAAATCTTATTTTTCAGATTTATCACTATTTTACCATCAACATTACATATAAAAAACTCCACAGACTCGTATAAGTTTACTGGTCGCTTTGAAAAGTAAATAAAATGGCTATATTTGCCTTATAGACATATTTGCTTGTTCCTGTCACCACTGACTCATTACACCGCTTCACACCTCGTCTTGGTGAAGTCTGGCAACCCACACAGATGAAAACTGCCTAATAACAGCATTTATATACAGACGGTTTCACAATGAAGCAATGAATGAACGAGCATTCAGTGAAGCAACCTCGCCGCTATTCGTTATAAAGGAGCCGCTATGTGAGCCGCAGCTTACCTCCCTCGCTCCCTCCCAAATAGGAAGTTTTACAGAGCTACGTGTTCAAATTTCGCGGGGCCACTTCCTATAAGCACCCCCCCCAACCCATTACTGCTAGAGAGTGATGATTGATTGGCGAGCCGAGCAGCTCATTGGCTGTTCGCGCTCACTGACGTCATGAACATACATTAGGCGCCGTTTTAAACTCCTATAACTCGAGTTTAAAAGTTCTTAAAAATATAACAGCGGTGTTAAAATGTTTTATGATATTCATTGTTCAGGAAATGATTGCATTCATTTACATTCAAAATGTTTAAGCGTTTATGAATTATGATTTTGCTCAAATGCTCCATATCAACCCATTCATTTTGGACTCACTCGGGTCCTCTCTACAAGTTCTCTGGTGTAGGCGCACGCGATATAGGGAGGCCCATGGATGTGGAGCTAATCAGCTAAAATCTGTATTTAAATATATTTCTTGGTATTAATGCACCAATCAGCTTTCATTTTTTTTGGAAAAGACAATGTGCTATGTCAACACATTAATTAACCATAGAAACCATTAAGCGTTTCTGTTGGTTCCTAAAGGTTTTGTAATGTGTTTTGGCTGATAAGTTAATATCACAGCGTAATTGATCCTAATGAGATCTAAAGGTGTTCTACTGGAAACTGGTGGTCTCTATTGGAAGCAATTAAGCCAATTCCCGTTAGAATGCTAAACCATTTGGTTTTATTATTAATGGTTTCCAATGGTCTTTTTTCCAATGCTCTGGAAAAGACACCAGTGGTCATTTTGTAGTTGATGTGTTCATATGAGGGACACACATACGCACATTTTCCCTCTGTGTTGATGAGATCTCTGAATTATGAAGGGGTTAAATACACAGATTCCTACATCTGAGCTACAAGCTAAAACTTTCTTGCGTATATTGACGTTGCAGGAAAATGTTTTAGTCTTTGCAAATGACAGTGTTTCTAGCTGATCCTCAAAAAATCTCTGGCCTGGCTTCTTCTCGCGTCGTACGAAAGAAAACGTGCGATACCGCCACCTGCAGTGCTGGAGTGGGAATAACGGCACGTTTAAAAACTTTTTAAAAACCGTGGTAATAACAGCATGTTTATAAAGGCTTGAGATAACATGGAATATACTTATAATAACTGGATAAATTAATGTGATAGTAAAATAAGACAAAGAATAAAACATATCAACATATACAAAATAAAAAGTAGCGAATTATTAAAATGTATATTTTACTACAACATCGCTTCACATGCATAAATGCAAACTTGCATTGTGAAAGATTTGCATTAGCAGTTTTGGATAATTAATAATGTGAGACTTCCACAACCAGAAAGATTTTATTAGCGTAATTCAGAAGCCACTAATAGGTCCGGACCCAGACGCTGTCCTATGTGGACCTGGACCTGTAACCGATAAACTATGGAGAATTATTTAATTTCGACAGGGTGGTCCTATTTTGATCGGCGTAACATGACGCGCTCTAAAAAGAGAAAACCGACAAATATTGTTGAAATATTACTAAATTGTACTTTATTGTTTTGACATTCAGTTGTTGACTACATAAGATGTTGAAATACCTGCTAGGCTACTTCAGTAAACAGTATATGGCACCAAATCGTGATGCAAGTTCGACGTTATGATGTTCCGGACCTTTGCTTGAGGACATTTTCTCTAACTGGACCTTACTGAGTTTTAATTAATTGATTAGACCCCTGGCGTAATTTAATAGCGCCGTTGTAATCTTTATTTTCAGTCCCCTCGCTGTACAGTAGGTGGCGGTAGATGTGCCACTCGCTACTTAGTCCACACACACGAAGAAGGAAAAGACGAGCGAAGACACAGCGGCCAAACATTTAGCTTCAGTTTTGGTTTATTATCTGGTTGTTTTTTCTTGCGAGGCATTTTAAAGGTAAAGAGTCCGATTTTAACTAACCTTACAATCTAGCCCGTCTACCTTTCTGTCATTCAGGCTTTCAGGTAGTCAGTAATTTCCTAATAGACCTCTCAGACTCGGCTAGCTGGGCTAGCTGTTTAGCTAGCGCGGCTGCAGAGCGCAGCCTGTCTGACCTCAGCTCAGTCCGGCCGGGTCAGAGAACAAAAACACTGGAACGTAGAACTTGTAGTCTGCAATGAAGCCTTCATACCAGCATCCTTTCACAGTTATGTTTTCCCCGGTCTGGGTTCATATGACCCAGTTAGCCAGCTCGATACAGCTATTTCAGGTTATTATGAGTGTACAGGGGGATTCACTCGAAAGAGGCCCCGAATATTCTGCTGTAGCTCCCGTTAGGATGAAGCAATCTGAACCAAACAAAATACAAAATCCGCTACAGTCCTTGACGTCTGTGTGATCGATTGCATTACATGCGATGTTGGAAGTGATCTCCGTTTTCTGCCAGACGCGGCGCTCCATGTTCCTGATTGTACCGGCAAGCATTACAGAGGTTAAACGTCGCGACGGCTGTCCGGCGCCTTCCTCATCGCTCCCACCCAGGGGCATCCCGGCTTGTTCGAAGCTCCATATACTGAGGAGTTCATTGCACGTTGTTTCGTTCAGATTGATTCGTCCTAGCGAGAGTTATTAAAGAATATTCGGGGCCTCTTTCGAGTAAATCTCCCTGTAGAAGCACTAGGAGTTGAAGCTGGCTTTGTATTCGTTGTTGCTGAAGTCTAAAAAAGTCTGGAAATTAAAAGCAGGGATTTAAAAAAATACAGACTTTTGTAGTTAAAGTAACGTTTGTCCACTTTGCTGTTTTACCAAAAACAGTTGGCCTTTATGTGTCCATTTTTACGGAGCCCCGCTGGTGACATCCTGTATAAATAAAAATAATGCGTGGCCACGACTTAGTAAGGCGTGGGAATGAGATCCTAATCCGTGGCCACGACTTAGTAAGCCGTGATCTCGTTCCCACGCCTTACTAAGTCGAGGCTACAACTTAATCATCTCATTCCTACACCTTACTAAGTTGTGGCCACGCGTTAGGATCTCGTTCCCACGCGTTAAGAAGGCGTGGCCACGCATTATTTTTATTTATATAGGATGTCACCAGCGGGGCTCCGTACATTTTCCAGCTTCTCTCTACCATTTAGAATTAAACAGGCTGGGTTCTTAAGTGCGACATATGGAAATAAGCTCTGTTCTCATTGGCTGCTCTGTATTGTGCCTCATTCAAAAAAACAGTCCTGTCTTTTTAACTTAACCACGAATGGACAGGGCTGCTAATAAACAGCCATAACGTTTAAACCTCCTTATTTCTACACGCGTTGTCCATTTTATCATGTCCACTCTCCATATGGGTTCACTTTCACCCTGTTCTTCAGTGGTCAGGACCCCTACAGAGCAGGTGTTATTTGGGTTGTGGATCTTTGTCAGCACTGCAGTGACACTGATATGGTGGCGGCGTATCAGTACAACACACTAACACGTCAGTGTCACTGCAGTGCTGAGAGTGGTCCACCACAAAGTATGTAGAGAAACAGATGGACTACAGTCTGTAACTGCAGAACTACAAAGTGGAGCTGATAAAATGGGCAATGAGTGTAGAAACAGGGAGGTGTTTTTAATGTTACAGCTGATCGGTATGTAATATGTTTTTTTTTTTGACTTAGCAAAAACAGTATATATTAAATTCTATCATGGAATTTAAACAGTGTTCACATACTGTATCAAACCCGGTCATTAAAAAGGAATAAGAATGTCTTTTTTTAATGCGGATCCTGTCACGTGTTTCCTTGCCATGGTGGAGTGTGAAACCTTTACAGAGAATAAGAAAAGCGAAAGTCTAGAAAGTTAAAAAGAAAAGAGAAATCTGCAAAAATGTTGGAGTCTGGAGAAAGTTGTTGAATGTTTGTATGATTGTTTAGCTAATTAGTCTGAATGCAGTTCATGAGTTTGCCTGTTATTGCCTCCAGGAGCCTCTCATCATGGCACTGAAGTCGGGTGAGGAGCGCCTTAAGGAGATGGAGGCGGAGATGGCGCTGTGAGTACAGTAACGATTAAGAACTTTATTATTTTCATTCCTGTTTCTGCAGATATATTACGTAAAAATAAAAACATGATATGGATATACATGTACTTTACTCTTTGTGTCGGTATTACGTTGTATGGTTGAGGTGATTTTGTCATGTTGATTCTCCTATGCAGGTTCGAGCAGGAGGTTTTGGGGGGGCCTGTAGCTGTATCTGCTGGGGGTCCTCCAGTAGTGGAGGCTGTTCCAGTGGCTCTGGCAGTACCAGCTGTGCCTACTGTACCTATGGTCCGGCCCATCATTGGCACAAACACTTACCAACGGGTATTTGGATTTTAATGAATTGTAACAGTAAATACATTAAAGGCGAAACCCACTGTGGGTTTTAAACGTACCACATAATTAAAGAGTTAAGGTGTAAACAAACTCATTTACAGTGGTTTGATGTGAGATTTTGCTTCATTCTAGAGTAACTGACCAAGGTAGAATTATTCACAGCAGTGGTGATAGGAACCAGATGTCTGAAGAGTTTAATGCCTCTTCAGGGTTTGTCAAAGAACATTATTAAACAGAATGGCTACGTATGCATTGCCTGGTGGAGGAGACATTGTTTTACGACAGCTTTGAGATAAGGTTTTGTCAAAAATGTGTATTTTTTTAAAATTCACTTATGGTGAAGAGGTACATGCAGGGTGTTGTGCGGCAAGATGCCCAAAGAAAACCAATTTTTTCCTATTTATCATCATCGATATTATGTGTAATTATAAATGTGACTCAGAAGACCTGTGTAGGTTCACTTGAAATTTGGATAGTAAATACATTTGCTATATTCACGGACACATCACAAACTCTGGGTCCTGTCACCACCAACTCGGTAAGCTTCTCTACAATGAACCATTTCACATGAAGCCATTCTGAATGACTTTATTTACATCTCAACAGTTTAATTATGCAAAAATTACCCTTTAAGATACTTTCAGAGTGAACAGACTTTTCTATAAAATACTCACCCGGAGCAGAATTTCTCTCTCACACCCACAATGCCTAAATTTGTCTTTGCGAAAAGATTTTTCGGGGAGAAGGATGATTTGGGGAAATGGATACTTCAGTAATCTGGAATTATCATGGACATTTCTCTATTCTTACATATTACTCAAAAATCAGATTATATGTAGTGAGCCAAGGAACAAAATCCATAGTGAGCAAAACAAGGAGCTAATAGAAACCTAATGTATGGTTTTATTTACATGTAATTATTGTGAAAAACAAGAATATTTCACTTATTTCCAACTAAGATTTATGTCTTTTTAAAGGGATGCAGTTAGTAAAGCATTTGTCTTACAAATGTTTTATTATGCAGATGTTTTACTAAAGCCATAAGCTGTGAGAGGCTGTGTGTTACTGCGATTTTGTCACGGGAAAGGGTGCTCTTAGGCATGACGCAAAGGAGAATCCTTAAAACCCCCTTTCCTATGATAAAATCACAGTAATGCACAGCCTCGAGCAGCTTATTGCTTTTATGAACAGCGGCCAACATATAATATTATAAAACGCACAATTTTTCATAAAATGGTTTGTTATTATTAATAATAATCAACATAAACAAGTATTCCACCAAGAAATGTAGTTCCTTTAAAGTACGGTATTGTTTTCCAAGCAACTGCTGAATTAGGAGAAGAATGTTTGGTCTCCCATCACTGGATATTGCCATCATGATCTTTTTAACTTTTTTCATATAAACATATCTCAACACTGTTCATTGCAAAAACCTTCATTTTTAAGTACTTTTTGGTCAACAAATTACTACCATGAGTCTTAGCTAACTGTGCCCCCCTTACCGCACTGGGAATCTCAAATAACTCGCTGGTCCCTACATGGTGCACTAACTCGGAATTTAAGTACTGGCTGTTGTACCACAACAGTGCTTAATATAGCAGAAACATAGTCATTAGGGATTTAGCCACTTCCATACTCGACAAATAGTGCATTGTTTGGCTGCAGAAGCTAGAATTTCAAACCTTACTTAGCTCACTGTTTAGGGAGTACAGAAACGTTTCATGATTCAGCTGGTTTGACACTAAGTCTGACTAAATCACAGACATTTGAAGTGTGTAAGCCATTCAAGTGACATCCTTTAGAATTTTATATTGCAGTTTTGCAGTAAATCATATTGTAAGTGCTTTAATTCAAGCCTGTGACATTAATGATGGAGTTGTTTAGACTGTTATCTTTATCTTTTAGCCTAGTTCTGGTTAAGAAAATAAGTTGCCAGCCACTCAGTTTAAACAAAAAACAGGTTCTTACTTCATCAGCATACTCAGTCCATGTGAGCAGCATTAGATTCATGATTATTCCATTAACAGCACAAGGATTTTTTGTGGCACAGTAATACAGAATTCAGTTGTTGTGAGGCAGTCATAGATGCATGTATATTGTGTACTTTACAACTGCTTTGAAGGTGGCTCAGCCAATCAGATTTAGGACTGGAACTATCTGTATTATACTATGACATTTTCTAATGTGTGAAAAGTGTTTGCACACATTAACTGAACATCAAGCAAGACGTGATTAGTAATTTAAAACCGTCTGTTTGTTATGTGTGTTGAGCTAACTGTTCATTAGTTCAGTAAATAAGTAAGTGCATGGTTTTTTTATCCTGTTGTTTAGGTTCAACAGAGCCTGGAGGCTCGAGCTGCTACACTGGTTGGTCCCCCACCTCCTGCATTTGTTGGTCCTGGTAGGGCATGTTTGAAATTTTGCATTGCTATCAGTACTGTTGCACTGTCATATAGAGATAAAGTACCATTTTAAAGTACCCTTTCTGTTCTCCTGTGCTTTAGCTGTACCTGCAGTGCGGCCTCCCCCAATGATGAGACCTGCATTTGTTCCACACATCCTACAGAGACCAGGTAACCGGGCTACACAGTTCCTAAACATGACCGTGCAAGTGTGGTTTAAGCTGTGGTTTCTTTATGTGTTCTCCATACAAAAACAAAGCTCAAGTTTTAATCCTATGTGGACCAATCTTAATGTTTATGTAGATAATTTTAATATTATCTTTTATTATGATGTTTTACCATGAGGCAAAACATTTTTGGCAGCAATAATAAAAATGTCATCCTGTCTCATCCTGTTTTTTTGTAATACATTTCTTTCTTTCAGGGGGCCAAAGAATGCCAATGATGCGTGGCCCGCCTCCACAAGGTATGATGGCACCTCCTCTGCCCCGACCCCCTCCACCACCACCCATGATGATGGCCCCCCCAATGGCAGGCCATCCGCAGCACCCAATGGGTCCTGTTGGCCCACCTATGGGACCTATGAATTCAATTTCACCTGTAAGTACTTTTGGTAACACTGTTCTTGAGCCCTGCTACATAACATTGACATAACCATGCTGCAAACATGGTAGATCTCAGTTTGTTATGGGTTGTCATGACTGATTTTGTTCAGGTATATAAAAGTGTCATGTTACCTTTACTGGTGATTGTCTTCCGAAGTCCTAAGTGCACTCTAGTTAGCTGTCATGACAATTACTGGCAATACTAATGCAGCGCTGTTATATTATTGAACAAAATCTGTCATGAGAACTCATGAAACCACATGATATATGCCATGTGAGTGGTCATATCTCCCATTATCTCACTGACCACATTTTTAAACATTCTTAACTATGACTCAGCATTATTCGCCTGTAACCTAGCAACAACTTCCAGCTGTTGCAAAGACATATAGTGTTTTAACAAACTATTTTTTTCTTTGCAGAATATGAACAAACTTTCTTGTTAATAGGTTTTCTGTTATTGTCTTAAAGAAGGATCATCTTTATCAGTAATGAAACCATGGTGTAATCTCAGCAATATACTCAAGGTGTGCAGATGTACAGCACTTCGTCTTCTGCCTTGCACCTACTCTGGCAAGCATTGTGTCAGTATCTAATGTTATGTGAGGGTGTGACCAAGCAGAGGCAGAGAGGCAGCTACAGAGAGTCAAAAATGACAATTTTAATGTTTTTTTTGAGGGTGTCAAAACATTTTCAATAGCTATCTGCACAGTACTTCTGGCCAAAAATATAAAATACATTCATAGAGGTCACCCAGATAGGAAACAGCTGAACATTATTGGGGTGTATGGAGCAATTTCAGGAGAGAAGTTTCATTAGTAAAAGTGGTTGTTACTTCACAACACTTTTACAAACCTTCATATACAACCTGAAGAATACATAAGATACCTAGTTACAGTTCTGTATACTATTTGGGTCCACCCTCTAGAAAGGCACCAAATAACACGATTAAAAAGGGAGACGATAGAAACGTGTCAAAGTGTTCCCAAGGTAAAACCACCCATTGTCAAACTCTTCGCTACAAGTGTGCACTTCTAGCACTGAAGATTCAGTTACTTTTATTTTATTTGTTAATGTAACATTAGCAGAACTATTTTAACACTACTGACATGATAAACCAGTAAAAACTCTTTTCTCGTGTTTTACACAAGTATCACTACAATTAGCAGATAACAACCATGCATTTATTACCACTTACTGAAAACTACAGGGAAAATGTGGAGTGTGCATTGAAAAGTTCCTTTTTTCCTTCAGCAGGTTGACACAATGAACCCAGTGGTGTCTGCACCGCCCCGACCAGTGACTCAGGCCTCTCAGAAACACACCCCTAGCATTATACAGGCAGCCCCCACTGTTTATACAGCGCCACCTGCCCCTAAGAGACCGGACCTTCGAGCACAGAGACCAGCCCGCATGGTAAAGATTTGCCCACATTTACGAGACATTTCTCTATGATGTGTAAGCACTGTAATGGGACAAAGTGAGAGGACATAGCAAAAGGCATAACAGTTTGAGTAGTTAAGTAATCAAATAAGTCAATGTATTAATTGATTTTAAACATAATTGCTACTTGCAGCCGAGTCAGCTAGCCCTCGCTAATTATTTTGGTATAGATATTTGTAACAACATCTCACATCAGGCTTGACATTTAATTTACAGTCTGTGGTTAAAGGAATAATTACATCCACACAAGTTCCACCTCTGAAAGTAGAGATCAGTGCACATTAGCATTACTCAAACCACACTGCCAGCTTGTGGCTACTAGCTTTTGACGATATTAGCTGCAATTGCCTTCGTTTAAAGTCAATGTGAATCATAAATCATAACGCTGTTTTCTTCTGTACCATTGTGTAATTCTCAGTGAAAGAGAAGAAAAGGCCTAACTATTTCTGTAAATGGAAAAAAATACATATCTGGAAATTTTAGTTCATTTGCATTTAATCATCACGCTTGTTGTTTTAAACTTTGCAAGTGTTGTAGTAAAACTCTTACTTCATTTAACCAAGCTTTGGTTGAAAACAAGACCTAGATTCTTCACATGCCCAACTTTCTGTTACAAGCTTCAAATTAAACATGGAATGACTTTTACAACCTTCATATGTCTGTGCTTAATATAGAATGGCCAAAAACTGTTCATGTGCATTCCCATTAGCTTTGCGCTAACATACTACTAGAATCCCATAAGGACACTAGCAGATTTAGCATTATTGTAGAGGTGGGAATTTTGAAATTTACTATTTTAAACTATTCTAATCTATACTATTTCTAAACTGAAGATCTCACTTTAAAAGTCATGGTTTGCCACTGGAATTAGGGAGTGTTTTTGAGATAACTGAAGAGGATGTGAGATGTTATTATTGGACATTTTTGGTTAATTTTATTTTTGCTTTTCTGCTGGTGCACAGTGACATAATCAAAAATCAAAAGACGCTTTAGAGGCAGGCAAAAGTCACTAACTTTCAAGATCATAGGAGAACAAGACTCTTGTCTTTTAAATTCTACAGTATGATGTAATCCTGTCTAATACAATCAGGGACATGAACTAACAATGTCAGAAGGTCAGTTTTGATTTCAGGTTGACTTTAAACCATTATGGTCGTGTCACGTCATCATTCAGCCCCTCTTTTTTCCTCGTTTTTCTCTTCTCAGGAGGAGCTAGCAGTGTTAGAAGCTGAACAGCAGGCAGCTGTGATGACAGCCGGGCTCCTGGATGCCAAGAAGGACAGCACTGCAGATGACAGTGTCATCGGGCCAAGCATGCCCGAGCCAGAGCCTGTTCACCCAGAGGTACCAAGCGTTTATCCAGCTTTAAAGCGACGTGGCAGTGGCACTCTTGTCCAGTCCAACCCACCTGTGCTCCCTTTTTAGCAAATTAGCACACCACCTTAGTAGTGAGAAAATATTCATGATTCATAAATAATATTTTTTCTGAAACAAAGAAGAATTGTTTGCCTGTTTAGCTGTGTGTTTGAGCTCCTAGCTTTTTCAGATGCATAGAGGATGTAAACAGGAAAGTCAGGTTTCAGTTTAGGCAAATAAATTAAAATCAGTGATCAGAGGTTTTATAATAGTCATCAGAATCACCAGAAATGCTTTCGTTGTTTCCATTTTAGTGAGCTCTGTTCTGAAGGTTTGGAAAGATAAATACAACATGCAGGAAACACACATCAGTACAGAAAATAGTCTTGTAATACTGTAATTGTTACTTGAACACAAAACATGTAAATAGTGACTATAAGTTGGCTTAAATACACAAAGGTATAGTTAAGGATGTATTTAGTGTTAGCCTATGTGTGGAATTGATATTCTTCTCACTGACTTGTTTCTTGCTTTGTAGTATACAATAACTAATAGGCTACTCCATGTATTTATGATCATTACAAAGATTAACATGCTACAGGGAGATTCACTCGAAAGAGGCCCCAAATATTCTGTAATAACGCTCGCTAGGACGAAGCAATCTGAACAAAACAACGTGCAATGTGCTCCTCAGTATATGGAGCTTCGAACAAGCTGGGATGCCCCTGCATCGGAGTGATGAGGTAGGCGCCAGACAGCCAAGCCAATCAATTACACATACATCAAGGTATGTAGCATATTTTTTTTGGTTGAGATTGCTTCATCCTAACGGGAGCTACAACAGAATATTTGGGGCCTCTTTCGAGTGAATCTCCCTGTACAATCCTTTTATTGTATGATACATTTTTTCTCTAGTTATTGAATGTGATGATCATGTTTTGTGCCATTTTTTGTGCTTGTGCAGCCAGTAGATGGCAACACAGAGGATAAAAAAAAAGGGAAACAAGAGAAGGTAAAGAAGTGCATCCGAACAGCAGCAGGCACCACGTGGGAAGACTCTAGCTTAGCAGAATGGGAATCAGGTACAAAATAAATTAATTAAATTAAGTAAGTAAAGTTGTTGAGGTAATGTCAATTTCATTTTCACTGAGTTACGTAGTGATATTTGGATCTAGTACTGTTTCACTAGGAAACCAAGACAGCAAAAACACCAAAACAAGTAATGCTGATTCTCCATATTCATGGTGCAACAAGTATTTGCCCTCCTGATTTCCTCTATTTTTGCATATTCTATGCACTAACTTGTTTCTGATTCTCATACAAAATGTAATAAGACAATGAAAACATGAGGAAACACAAAACAGTTTTAAACGCTCATTTCATATATTGGTTTTGCAACACCAGTATCACCCATGATCACCCATCCCAAATAATTGCCGTCCAAATTTAATAACTGGTTATGCCACCTTTAGCAGAAACATCTGCAACCAAATGCTTCCTATAACTGGAAATCAATCTTTCACACTGACGTGGAGAAATTTTGGCCCACGAAAACCTTCATTTTGTTTCTTTTCATCCAGTAGTGCTTGAGCTACACATCATAAGCTGATGACCGGACCTTCTGCAGGATTTTCTAGTAGAGATTAGGATTCATGGTTTGTCAGTTATGGCAAATTGCCCAGACCCTAAAGCAGCAAAGCATTCCCATATCGTCACACTGTCACCACCGTTTTTGACTGTTGGTACAAAGTTCTTGTTGTGGAATGCTTTGTTAGGTTTTCACCAGATGTAATGGGACCCCTGCCTTTCAAAAGTTTCACTTGCTACTCCTCAGTCCTCAGAACATTATTCCAGAAGACTTGGGGGGTCATCAAGGTGTTTTCTGACAAACAAAAACTTTGCATCTCTCTCATAGATAAAATTTTTTGCTCAGTCTTTTTCGAATGGTGGAATCATGAATGCTGAATTCTACTGAGGCGAGGGAAGCCTGCAATTTCTTAGAGGTACATCTAGCTTCTTTTGTGACTTCCTGAATGAGTCAACGCTGCGCTCTGCGAGGAATTTTGGTAGGCTGGCCACATCTGAAAAGATTCACCACTGTTCTGTGTGTTCTCCATTTAGTGATTTTGGGTCTTGCTGTGGTTTGCTGGAATCCCAAAGCCTTAAAAATGGCTTTTTAACCTCCCCTGGAATAAACTAACGGAGCAGTTGGTGCTGGATAACTTTTTTCCTTCAGAAAGTTTATATTGTCTTATATTAAATTTTGTTAGAAGATCTAAAACAAGTGTGACAATTATGCAAAAATAGAAGAATTCAGGAGGGAGGCAAATGCTTTTTCATGGCACTGTATCTTCCCGTTTCTTACTTTCACATTTCTCTTTTCCTTCTTTCTTTATTCAGACGATTTCAGGATATTCTGTGGAGATCTGGGTAATGAGGTGAACGATGACATCCTGGCGAGAGCGTTCAGCCGATACCCATCATTTCTAAAGGCCAAAGTTGTGCGGGACAAGCGCACTGGGAAAACCAAGGGTTATGGCTTTGTCAGCTTTAAGGACCCCAATGACTATGTGCGTGCCATGAGGGAGATGAACGGTGAGTATAGCTATGTCTCTTTGAATGAAATTCATAGAGGGATTAAGTCTAGCATATAAATTAAAAAGGAATTTCTGTAGGATCCTGTATGTCAGTGTAATTAAGTCTAAGTCAAGGTGTTACCTACATCTGTTAAACTGCCCCTTGATGATTAGGATGGTGCTACAAATGTTACACCTTCTCAGTGCCTAGGAAAGTTCACTGTGTTGTTCCTTATTATGTTTGCATGTAATTACTATGAGAGGATCTGCCTTTAAGTAAATAGTGATATGCTTTTTATTTTTCCAGGAAAATATGTGGGCAGCAGACCCATTAAATTGCGAAAGAGCACATGGAAAGACAGGAACCTGGAGGTTGTACGCAAGAAGCAGAAGGAGAAGAAGAAGCTTGGGCTTAGATAATCTCTAGGAGTCTGAACTGAATCTGTGTGGTATGAGTGTGTGAGCGAGTGTTTACTTCCATCTCCTGCTACACACAGACACAACCTCAGGTGTGGAAGGACTCGGAAGGAATAAAGAACTTTTGATGTTACAATAACAGCCATGATGGCAGGTTCTGTGTCAGGGGAGAGGAGAGGATCAGTAACACTTTTTAATCAGTTTAAGCACTGACAAGTTTTGGCATTGCCCATGTGGTTATGGCATTTCATCAGTCTCCAGCTTGGCCCACTTAAAATGCACTGATACCTGCTCCTTTTGTGTGTTGTGAGTCCTGCAAATTACTTTCTGTTGACTGAAATGGGAATGCAAGAACAATTTGTAGATATACATAGAACGATGAAATTGGGTGTTTTATCATTTCGTCCCTGTTCTTGCTCACCTCATTACCGGAAACCATCGTCATGTTCTGTTTTTTTATTCTAATGTTAGAGAAAGCAGGTAAACAATAATGCAAAACTTTTCAATAAACTCAAAACTGTATTTTACATGTTGGCCTGTAAATTTTTTTTTTTTTTAGCTTTTCTGGATCAGTTAACCCAGTCATCGAAGGAGCTGTCCATGCACATAATTGTTTAGAGTGAAAAAGGCATTCAGATTGGTTTAATTCAAATTGCTCCATTCTAAAGAAACCTGCAGAATCAGAACTGAAGTCTTTAATGTCCCAAAAAAGTACCTCACAAAAAGTTCTCATGTAATGGTTATGAATGTTGCATGAGGCATTGTTTTATGATAGTTTTGACTTAGTTTGACAGTATTTTTTTAAAATATATTTATGGTGGATGTGTACATGCCAGATGCTCTAAGGCAAAATAGTCCTGCAAAGAAAACCTATGTTGTTTTTACACTTGCCAGAAATGCAAACATAAAAACACATGTATAAGGTTTATGTTTGTGCCTGTAACTGCTGATCTGGGATTTTAGGACACAACATTTATCAGAGCTAATGCAGAATAATGCAATAAAGAATAAACATCCAATGAGTGACAGTTCTAAGGGCTGAAACGACCTGGTGATGAAAGAGGTCAACGGCCAGACTGGTTCAAGGTGACAAAGGCTACGGTAACTCAGATAAACACTCTGTACAACTGTAGTGAGCAGAAAAGCATCTCAGAATGCATACCATGTTTTGAGGTGGATGGACTACAACAGCACAGCCATGTTGGGTTCCACTTCTGTCAGCCAAGAACAGGAAGCTGAGGCTGCGGTCAGGCTCAGGCTCACCAAAACTGGACCATTGAAGACTGAAAAAACTTGGCTTAGTCTTTCTGTAGAGGTATGCAGCTGGTAGGGTCAGAATGTGGCACATGAATCTACGGTGTCAACAGTCCAGGCTGGTGGAGGTGGTGTAATGGTGTGGAGAATGTTTTCTTGGCACACTTTCGACCCATTGATACCAATCAGTCATCGCTTGAATGCCACAACCTATTTGAGGTGCTGACCATGTGCATCCCTTCATGCCCACAATTTACCACCATCTAATGGCTACTTCCAGCAGGATAATGCACCATCACAAAGAAAAAGACATCTCAAAGTGGTTTCATGAACATGACAATGAGTTCAATGTTCTTTGGAGGCAATCCCAGTCACTAGATCTGAATCCAGTAGAAGATACATATAAAAGCTCAGAAGACACTAGTAAATAAAATAGCTGTATTGGCGTTGACAGGGTGACCCCTCGGTTCCTATCACAACTATTTTGGGACAGTCGAAGAGTTCCCCAATAAAAATGTGAGTATTAACTTGCTCAAGCATCAACTTAAGTCGTACGTCTGGTGTTCCACAGAAGCTCTAGAGCTGGACTGGCTGTATTTATTGCCCATACTGGCTTGTATGGTGGTGAGAATAGTCAATGTTCAGGACACCTAATCTGTCCACAAGGTGGCGTTTGAACATTTGATTTTAATGTGTTTCTCACACCAGAGAAACCAACATCTCTTAGCAACAAAGATATGACATCTTACAGCAAATATGATCATTTACTAAATGTCTATGAAGGCTGATGTAATGAAAATGAGATATGTGTGAGTGGTAAAGCACACAGATGTTTGGTTCCCCGTCTGACATGCCTTATACAGAAGGTCTCCTTTCACAAAGCCTCATTTCCTAATTTCAGAGAGACACAGTCCGTTTCAGCCTCAACATGTAGCCACGGACCCTCTTTCCTCACTGGACTGAAAACCCTTCTTCGTCTTTAGGATGCGGCGGAGCAGGACTGGTAGGCTTTTAATGAACACGACGATAAAGTCAGCTTCTTATTCGAAATTTCCCGTTCCACCTTAAATGCATCGGACGCCAGAATGTAAAGTTAACTGCTGCACCATTTAAGGTGGAACGGGAAAATATGAACAAAAAGCTGGTGAATAGGCAGCCAACTTCAGCCTCGTTTATTACATGCTGTTTAAAATGTCTTTCTCGGTTTAACCCACTTGGCTTTCCTCTTTATTTCTCCACACGCTTAAGTCTGCATCTCTTTATCACTCTCTTCATTTTTTACGTGTAGTTTTCTGTTTACATGACTTGCCTTTCCAGGTTTAATGCAGTAAACACGCTTTCTACCCGGTTATTTACCTCAGTAAACTCTATCAGTCGATGTTTAATACAAAATCTGGTGGTATTTCAGATTTTTTTCGGTATAAAAGTGACCGTAGCTCTAAAAAAAACCTTACCATGAGCGAAACAGGACAACACATAGGGAAATAGCGTGAAATGATGGGTTTACTAACAATTAATTACGAAACTGTGTGTCTTGTAGTGACCATAGCTACCTCTGAGAGAGCAAAGGTAAACAAGGTAACGTTACGGCTAACTAGCTAGCTGACTTACCCTGTTGACGTTAGCAACGTCAGAATCGTTAAACTAGCTGCACTTCTAGAAAACTCAGCACACGATTTGAAGATGGTTGTCTGGATCACATAAAATACATAACGTGCTTTAAACTAGTTCGGTTTGCCTCAAGCAGAGCCGCCTCTGTGATCTGGGTGGTGTTGCTGCACATCTGCGTTCTATAATAGCAAAGAACGAATCGGCTCTTTTGAACTGATTCTTTTCGATAAAACGAAAGTCCTAGCTAACTGTACAATATACGCCACATTACGTAATGTAATGATTATTACAGGTCGAATAAAAATCCATCTCAAAATAAAGGGGTAGTCCGCCGAGTTTTGCTCGTTTTGTTCGTAATTTAATGTTTGAGATTTAAACAAAGTCGTTCAGAGTTGTCTGGTGTGAAGTGCTTGTTCTAGAGAAACTCACCGAGTCAGAATTGTTTACCAGACGTCTGAGGAGTTTATTGCCACTAAAAACTGCCTCACAGAAAATGACTACATGAAATGGTTGGATGTCTGAGACTTTGTTTTACAGTAGTTTTTTTTACTGTTTTGATCATATTTTGATCTGTACTATTTGAATCTATTCATGGTGGAGGGACACATGATTTTTTCAAATTGACCATTATTTTACCATCATCAATGGTACTCCCTTTTTTGGATAGTAAATAAGATGGCTATATTTGTGTTGTAGGCATCAGGACTCCTGGTTCCTATCACCACCACTGTAAGGACATCTGAGTCAGTATTTTTCTCTACAATGACCCATTTTACATCAAACCACCCTGGATGACTTTATTTACATCTCAACCACTGAATTATACAGAAATTTTGAAAAACAGGTGGAATTTAAGCTCATAAAATCACAATATACAATATTGCACTGTCACATTCCAACAAATCATTTCTGAACATATGGGAACCTTATGCAATGGGTTATGGATTACTGACCAGACCATTGTGGGCACTCCCTAGGGGCCTTTGACTGCTAGGGGTCTCAGAGGGACCACAGGGCTCAAAGTGGCTCAGATACTTGCAGATGTAAACATTACATGAACAAATAGCTCTTAAATGTCTACAAATGATTACGGAAAAAGAAACACAATTATGGATAAAGAAACACAATCATATCTGTACTCAGACTTTTCAGGTCTGTTCTCAGTCTTTTATGTTATTCTTTGCGTTATCAATTCGTAGAATGTTGTTGCCATTGAAAGGGGAAGTTTTAGATGTGTGTGCTAGTGTTAGCATTTACACTTCCATGTGTGTAGGACTACTTCTGTTATTGTATTATAACTGGGCAAGAAATCTTGGTTTAAATCTTACACTAATATCTTAAAACCTTATAAACCCATAAAAACAATATTACGGTTTGTTGACAAATGTTGACACAGTAGGGTGGTACTAATAAGGCCAAAATGTATTTATCTTCAAAAAACTAACAAATGTCCTGCGTTTCTCAAAGTAGGAATAAATACTGAGTTTCACTTTTCAAGCCTTGTTGCTGTTCTTTTTTCTGCATTATTGTTGGGTTGTGGGGGCCTCGATCTATCACACTCCACCACCCCAGTCATATTGTATGTAAGAATAAGACAAGGTTTAATATTTCATTTTTGATAAAGACACAATGCAAGAAGATCTATAGCTCACTAAGCTGTTTGACAAATAATAGTAACACGTTTTTGCAGGCCTCTTTGTGGTCATTCTGCCAGTGGAATGAAAATGGACTCTTTTATTGAAACAAAGCTTAAGTCAGCTTCTTATTTACCAGCTTCTTGTTCTCATTTTCCCGTTCCACCTTAAATGGTACAGCAGTTACATGCTGGGGCCTCCTGAATGTAATTGCTGCACTATTTAAGGTGGAACGGAAAAAAACAAGAAGCTGGTAAATAAGAAGACAGCTCCAGCCTCGTTTTATTAATATAATTAAATAAAATAGTTTAATTCAAATTCTAAATTAAATGTAAGCAATATATTGAAAAGAAAATCTAATTTAATCAAAAACCTCCGAAACAGACTGAAACTGCGAACTTATGTTTACTGTGAAAAGCGTACGGAGGAGATATGAATACAGTTGGCCTCGCTTGTGAATGAATGAATCTTCGCTCGAAAGAATCGGTTCGTTTAACTGAATCGATCTTCCCATCACTATTCCCCTGCCTCCGCCTCGTGCTGGAGAGGCGCGCGCCTCTATCTCTTTTGTCCGCCCGGGCTCTTCAGTGGAACAGCACACTCTGGAAAAGCGGGAGGGGGAACGTTGGGAATGTTTGGAGTTATCAGACCGAAGCCAAAAAAGAGTGTCTGAATCCCACCGCCTCGGTCCTGAAGTACCTGGTTTAATGTGTGTGTCGTGTTTGTGCCAGTGTGCTATCCCTGTTCACTGCGAGGGGGTTAGTGCACGTTCCCCCTCCCCCCCGCAGGAGACTGTTTTGGGGCCAGCCAAAGAACCCTCAGATCAGTGTTGCCAGATTGGACGGTTTTCCTCCAAGTTGGGCGGATTTTGGTTGGGTTTCGTCGGGAGGAAAGTGCTTGAGTGGACAAATATATATACAAAAATACACATACATAGGATTAAATTGAATTACTTAATAATACAGATGAAATTATGATAGGCAATGTGTGGTAGCGTGTTCTGTAATATGGTATCCAGTTCACTCTGCATTACTGAGTCTACACAGTTCAGCAGCTTTGGACATCTTAACGGCCGTGAACTGTTATTAGAGTCTATAAACAACAATATCATTGCTGTTCATTTGCCTTTCTGGCTGCATGGAATCATGGGTACTATCATTTGTAACGCATTAGAAATAACATTTTGTTAAAACATGTTAAAACCGAAATACTGACGAGTCAGACAGCACGTGGCGTGAGCTCTACATGTTATGGAAATATGATACACGTAGGCCTACAAATCAAATAACTTAATTATTTTATTTAAATAGTTTTTTGTTTATTTGCGGGCGTTTAGATGTTGACAAGGATACGAAAAAAGTATACGAAGAGTTTGTCGACGTTTCAGCGATACAATAAACACAATTGCTAATGATCGACAGCGCCATCTAGCGACAGGAAGGCAAATAACCGTCATCACCCCAGTAACATAACAAACTCAGACGCTGTTATTGGTGTTATGTTGGTTAACTGCTGTATTATTCCGTATTGTGATTTAAACGACCTTTGAGATGGCGTGTTCATGCATTCTGGTGGGCTTTAAAAAATGTTCTGGCTGGAAACTATAGACGCAATCTGGCAACCCTGCCCCTGATTGCCCCTCATTGGCTCAGGCGTGTAGATGGCGAAGATGTGAACGCTCGCTGAGCAGCACACATGGGCTGAGAGCGTCGAGCTGGAGCATGGAGAGGCGCGCAGCGGGGCCGCGGTGATCTCCTCACCGACTCAGTGACGGTTCGCGGCTTGTTTTGTTTCTGGGGGGAAGATCAGACCAGGACCTGGACATCATCATCATCATCATTATAATCATGCTGCCTTGAACCCTCGAACCAGCGTCTGGTCTCGAACCGCCTCCTCCTCCTCCTGCTTCCCTCCTCCCCTCTCTTCTTTTCTCTTTTCTACGGCGCTTTTCTGAAGAGCGGTTGCTACTCAGTCTCGGTCTTCTCGCGGAGATGAGCGCGCTGCTGCAAGTTCCTCCGCTCACCATCATGTAAGTTAAGGGGGAAGGTCGATTGATGTGGCGGGCCAAAGACGAAGGAGCTCGGGGAGCAAATCGAGGAGCCTCGGCCAAAAGCGAACGCTGCGAATCGGATTTGAAAACGGAGGTCCCGCTCAGACTCCAGCCCCCTGATCTGGACCTGGATCTCGGAATGGTGGTAAGTTCATGTTAGCCAGCCATCTTCGCCTCTTCCTTGACGATTTTGGTGGATCTGTGTGTCTGAGTGTGGGTGGTTTTGCATTCAACTTGATTTTTAGCCCAAGTAACGTTAAGTCAGGCTTGGTTGGCTGCTGCTGTCAGAGGCTTTTCCAGACTGGCTTGGCTGGGATATGCTATGCTACGCAGAGACGTGGTCAGTTCCTTAGACTGTGGTTGTCAGTGGGCATTTGACAAAATGCTATTGTCCTTATGGGATGATGAAGGCAATGAACCCCAGGCAGTGATCTCCGGTTTGTGCCCCTCCCTTCACACACATGCATGGGCTGTGTGTGTGTGTGTGTGTGTGTGTGTGTGTGTGTGTGTGTGTGTGTGCGCGCGCATGCATTGTTCGCTGACTGGCTTCTCCAGATGATGGACTCTTGCATAAAATATCTACATTAAGTGCTTTACATGTACTTATATAATCTTCTGTACTGCTGTCATCTATAATAGTTTGCTTTTACACTATTCCTGTAGTGCTGTGATCTATAGCACATGTGCAGTTCCCTATAGTAACTATAGAATCAGAGTCATGTAGACGTACCTATTGATCTTTCTCATAAGGGAAGTTGATTTCTTTGGCTATTTGCAAGAGCTTTTGGTGCCCCCATACAGGTTTGATGAACTCTGAGCCCACTTCCCTTGCCCACCACCCACGCCCATTGTTTACGATGCTCTGATAATAAGAGCAACCATCTGTAGTAGTAACAAAGGCACCAGCCACTCCGTAAATCTCCACATGCTTTAAGGTTTACGTTATAACAAGTGAGTGCTCTGGTGTCCTTGGTTGGTTTTAAGAAGCGGCTTCTTCTTTGACTCTTGTGCTCCACCAAAACCCTACGTGGTGTCAAGGATCTAAGCATTACTCTACCTGACAGTTACACCACAGGCCGTTTGTGATCGGGATCGTTTTGAGCAGGTAGGCGGATGTTCTGGGAAAGGGTCCAAGAGGGGACGAGTGTTTGCTCTGGGAATGGTTTGCACAGGAGCGGCAGAGCAGCCGGTTCCACTGGATATGAACCGGCCTAAATGACAAACCCACTCAGTCCGGTCAAGCATGCGGCTTGTTGTTCGTGGGAAAGGCTCAGCTAGTCCAGGAGTGCTCACTAAGCGAACAAAGCCTGCAAGTGGTCCTCGGACTGAGATCTACCTTGTCGCTGTCAAGGCCCTATGTGCACTTTGCAGTTTGGTGAAAGAGTTTTACAGGGCTTGGGATGGTGGAGATACTGATACCGATTTGATATATTTATTTACAAACTACTAAGCTGTAAAATGAGCTACGTTTAATTGAAGCACTTCAATTAAGATGAGCATCTAAAAGTTGTCTGTCATGCTCAGACGTCTCAAACACAGTGTGACTCTGTGCTGTTTCACGGTAGGTTTGTTACACGATCGGATTGGAAGAAATTCTTTTTTTCCATCTGATTACAAACCCAGCGGTTTCTGCTGACAATGGCCCATTTGGATTGGTGTCTACACTTGTAATACCCTACTGAAATTCAAACTTGTGTACTGCAAAGGTTGTACAACAAAGGATTCAGTTGTGGTCGCTCGCTGCCGCTTTTCAAACCCCAGTAATTAGCCTCTCTGTTGCTGTGAGCTTCCTCAAAACAGAACGAACATTAGAGCAGCTGTCACTTTAAACACTCTCACATAATTAAAATGATCTTAATACTACTGTGTTTAGGGGAAACCGGATACTGACCAAGCTGTCCTGTCATCTTTGAGCCTTTATGTACTTTATAATATGTTGGGCTATGGGTAGTATTAGATGTTTTATGCTGATCACTGTGTTGGCGCCTGTTGTAATAGTTGAGGTTAAGACGTTTGATGCATCTGTTGTAATAGTTGAGGTTAAGATGTTTGATGTGACTTTGCTCAGTCTACTTGTACCAGTGACGTACACTTCAGCGAACATGAACGCATCCTCCCTCTTCAGTTGGCAGCATGTAGGTGTTCCAAGGAATTAAAATGTAGTCTCACTAGGTCAATATTTATGTAAGTAATGCTTTTTCTTTTGTTTTTGTTGAATAATCAGAAAGTCAGTGTGCAATACATCATCATACCAATATTTTACAAAACATTAATAAGGTTAAACTTGGACAGATTAGCATTTAGGTGGTTGATGATCACTTGCATGCATTGAGCTGTAGACACATCATGCAAACACCACCTGCTTCCTGATTTGGTAGACACATCCTGTTGGCCAGGTTCATTGCATAAAGTTGTTTAATCAATTTAAACAAGCTGTTTGACATGTTTTAGTTTTTAATTTCATACATGTTGCAACATTTCAGGTATTACTAAAAAAAACTTTTCTATGTAAACAGAATTTTTTCATTTTTTCATCAGACATTCATTAAACTGTCTGCTTCCATAACCTACACGCTCTTACAGCTTTTTTTACAAAAAGGTTGGATGGAACTGAATCTACTGTTTGTCCATTAATTTTCACATCTAGGCCTTAAGATATGCGTCGCTGTTGTCGGAAGGAAACCTCGTATCCTACTTTACCTACTTTACTTTTAATGTAAGTCAATGGAACCAGACTTTTTTCCAAGTAATTTTGGGCCGTTTCTTTTGGTCCTTTCATCATGGAATTTACACATAATGTAAAGAACAACAGGTATTTTCAAAATATGTCAAAAACTGAAAAACGTTTTCTTCCTACAACAGCGATATGTACATATGCTGTGTACACTTGCTCATGTTGTGCTGCAATTTTATGACATACATGTCACACCCTAGTCTTCGGGTACCTCTCAAACTTTAACCCAACTTTAATGGCTTGAAACCTACATAAAACTGAATTGCATGAGCTGTATAATGTAAAGCATCCTGCAACTAATTTCAAACTTGGGCGCAACAGTTGCAATCTCAATTTCATGGAACTAGTTTTGTGAAGCAGTTGATCAGAACATGTCAATCTGACAGTGTCATTTCAAATGGCTGATTGCACCGAACCAGCGAACAAGTGGATAAAACAGAAGGTGGTTTGTGGAGCGAAAAAGAGACCTTTTTGTCTGACTTTATGAAAGGTTGATGGTATTAATTTTGTCAGGTTCCTGAGCCAGGACAACATCCTGAGTTTCTCAGAGCTAATGTTGCTGGAACCAGCTGCCTCAACACACCAGCCAATGCTAACAGCTGTTTAAATGGCTGCTTGCGCCACCGTTTAGTCTTTGTTAGTCTGCTGTTATTGTGATGTAAACTACACCTCTCAGGTGACTCTATAGCGAGAACGATACAGTGTATCAAAAATAAAAGCTGGTATTTTGCCAAACTCATTAATTAATTTAATGAGCTCCATGCAACCCTGCGATAGACTGGCGACCTGTCCAGGGTGTATCCTGCCTTTCGCCCAATGACAGCTGGGATAGGCTCCAGCACACAACCCCCCCCACCCCCCACGACCAAGAAGGAAAAGCGTTTTAGATGATGTGTATGTGTGTTGCATGCAGTTCTGTCACATCGCACAAAACCTATGTTGCATACAACTTCTAGGCTAGTTGCATGAAACTTTCATAGTGTAAAGCCAGCCTTAGGTTATCTTGAGGCAGGTGAGCCAGACCAGTGAAGTAAATAAGTACACAGACGGCAACAGAACTTAAAATTAGGTAAGGGAAAGATAAACACTTCATCATCTTCCTTCAACAGCTTGTTAGTCTCTGTGTGATATAAAGGATAAGGGATTCTATACCTCTTTAAATACAGACTGCCTTTTAAACCTTGAGGTAGTTGAGGTGATGCTGCTTTAGGTAGATTTGGTCATTCGACTTGTACCAGGAGCTTACTGCCCGTACTCTTCTACTTACTTTAAATCTGGTACCTGCTGGCGTTGTTAATTTCCGTCAGGCTTCCTAAGGATGAGTTACGCGCCATCATAGCGGCAGCAGTGGGTGATCAAGGTGTTTAATTACTGGCCCAGCATCACAGTTCTTTTAAAGTATGAGGTGAGGCTGACCATGTGGGTCTGTAAGCTGTCCTGGGTTCCGTCTGTCAACGAGGTACGAGGCTATTTTGAGTGCGTTGGCTCCATTTTCTTGAATTTGGCAGTCATTTGAGTGAGGATCAATACGGCCCTGACTCTAATGCTTTGCTAAGTACCCTATTAATCTTTGCGTGCTTAACTTAGCCCCATTTGATGTGGGCCTACTTTGTCGCTGTATTTAAAAATGGTCATTTTCTGGTAATTCTTTTAAAAATACTCCATTGCTTTGTTTAATTTAGCTGTTTAAAAGCTAATTTACCAATGTGCGTGGTGGGTTGTGTTTCTAAGGCCGACTCTTGATTATTAAGCTAATTGGGGCCCAGTCACAACTGCGGCCTCGGCTGCGAATTATGACTTCAGCTCAAATCTGGTGGGCCCCTGTGCCTTTATATGGGAACAGTTAAGTGGAGGCATCTATATTCTGCCCTGAAGAAAAGGCAAATTGGAAAAAAAGCCAGTCAATATGCTAATTAGAGAAGATCTCACAGACACATAAGCTGAGAAAACATGCCGCTCGTGTCGGAAACAGATGTTACGTAACCACCTCCTCTTCATCGTCCGTCACGGCTTGGATTGTTGCAATTACATAAAGGACCCCTGAATGCTAAATGAAGTGAGAGAGGCGAAATGAGTGAGTGCAAGTGCATGGGGCTGCAGTGCGCCCTCCAGGCCTTCATCTCTATCTTTTTTATCTCTCCTGCTTCCTGTTTACTAGCATGGTCGTGTGGTCCAAAGCCATTTTCTCCTGATTGCTTTTTTCCCCTCCTGTAAACCAAAAAAGGCTGTTTGCTCCTGCGGATGCCCACAACCAAGACATGGCCACTCTGTCTTATTACACGCTTTATGGAGGTTGTTGGCTGTATATCAGGTCCTAAAGGTGCTGGGACTTGGTGCGCTCCCTTAATGCCTGTTTTATAACCGTTATTTGTCACAATCCAGACTGAGTTCCCCCAAAAGCTCCATATCAC